AATAAGCTATTAGTGTTAAGCCTTAGAGCCATAATGATATGCTTCATATGAATTTAAATGCTTAACAAGTTATTTTGCAGAATGCTGGGGCGGCTGTTCGTGGGGAAAAGGTTAGTTAATCGTTTTTGAATTTTTCTAGCATTTTTCATTTTCGAAAAAAATTTTATTACATATGTTACGAAGAAATTTTCATTGTACAAAACAGGACAAGGAACTAAAGTCTAGAGAACTGAGACATCGACTTACCTTTTCTGAGTTTAGATAAGTAAGAGATAGGCGGGAATAAAAAACTGAAAAAGCATGAACTGAAATTAAAACTCCAGAACAGTAGCGCTTAATCTGCTCATAATTGTTTGGCGAAAAGGCGACTCCAGGCTGAAAGGACGAGTTAGTTTTCAAAACAGCAACATAGTTTCGGAAGCGCAAAATGGAAGCAGAAAACTTTTTCAATTGCTTTTGACTAATGCTGCATCGCTCGGCTGCCAGGGTGAGTGCACGCTGCGAATACTCTGATTTTTTATCTAGATGAGATCTTAGGTGTCGTAGACAGGCTTACCAGCTTTAGCTCAGCACTAAATTACTTGTTGGCATCAAACATTCATGCACCCCCTCCCCGCCCCTATTCCCAAATGTGAATAAAAATAGAAATTAATGGTACGGTATTTTCTTGCGGTTAACTATTGGTATTTTTCCAGGATGCCGTGGATGTGGTGAGTTGTATTTTCACGTCTGTACTGGATATTTTAATAAGGCTCAAAAGCTTTCTAATTCTTTCTTTTCTGTTCTAATTTTGACAGTAATCATTTTCGGTTACATCTTTAGCTTTGATAAATTGGAAAGGCTATGGTGTAAAATCCCAGAACCATAAAGGCCCTCGAGAGCTAAATCATCCTCTGCACTGTTCCTTTCCCTTCCCAGTCACCTCTGCTCTTAACCCACCATCTGAGAGGAGAGGAGCACATTGCTGTCGTTGCAACTTGCTTCTCAACTTGCCGAACCTAGTTTTACTGACTGCCCAGCCATTCAAAGATGTCTCTGATGGGTGCTGAGCATCGCCAACTTCCCCGCCCCCTCCCGCTTTCGAGCATCACCACTGTTAGACTACAGTGGGATACTGTACCGTGCTGGAGAACATCCGAAACAGTGCGGTTGGTTAATGTGCATTCCACAAGGCTATGTGTTTGAAGTTCAAAGGTAGCAAATTAGCCTGCATTTCGCTTCAGGTTTCCAGAAATCAGTATTTTAATTGCAGACAGCAGCAGTGAGGAACGTCCGCGCTATCACCATCATCATCACTACCGTCCACCACCGCCACCACCCCCAGTGCCAATTCCTTTCCCAATGCCAATGCCTATGCCTGTGCCTGTACCCCCAGTTCCTGAGCCCCCTCCTCCTCCTCCTCCTGAGCCCCCAATGCCTGAACCACCACCACCACCGCCTGTCGGAGGTGATACCGGCGGCGGACCTGGACGTGGATGCAGAGCATATCTAGATTGTACCTGATCTGCGCAATTCGCCATAAGTTATCAATTATCTACAGTACTTCAACGCTAACAAATAAAATTTCACTTCACAGGAGTACTGCGTCACACAAAAAATTAACATTGCAGGAATTCAGCGCTAATTTCTTTTTTGTGTGTGCACATCAAGCGTATGGGCATGTCGAAACTGAAATTGAAACGTAAATGCCAACTTAGAAACCGCTATGCAAAGCTTTGATTTTATGAGAATATTTGCTATCTTTGTTTGGGCTATCACAGACAAATACATTTGTGGCGAAGAAGCAATTTACGAATCAAGACAAGCTACAGAACTGAAATTTTATGAGGATATTCACTAGCAAAGCAAAAAGCAAATTTTTTAAATTCAGCTTTGCAGCACATCTAGATCTGGTGTTATACGCAAGTAAAATTTCAATTTTGAACAATTCTGGCACGAATTGATTCTGCAGTCACTTTAAGCACGAAG